CCATTGCTGGTGGACCCCAACATCTTCAAAGGCAGTTTCCCAGGGAACTAGTTCTCTGAACAGCCTGAAGACCTGTTTGTATCAGCTGTGTTGTATTCCCAGTTAACATCTGGCAAATTGAAGTCACCCACACAGACAAGGAGAGCTGATCTAGAGATACCTCTTAGTTCTTCAATGAATAATTAATTCACTCAATTTTTTTTTCATGTGCATTGATTCAGGTGAATGCACCTGGCTGTGCATCTAAAATGGAGCTAAAACCTTGCATTGTGGACCAGGGTACCCTGGGTGTGACAGATTGCCTGCTGAAGGGCAAGTCCCATTCTGAAGCAGGTGTGCAGCTCTTGCATGCACTGCTCAGAGAGGCTACTGTGATTCAGAGCATTGATTCAATGCTCAGATTCCCTGAATAACCCTAAGAGCAGCCAATTTTAACATGTAATACCACATTCAATAGCAATAGTGAGTGCTAATCTAATAGTCTGTTACAAAATAAATAAATAAATAAAATAAATAAATAAATAGATGCAGAAGTGGAGTGATAGGCTCCTGCTGTAAACAAACACTGTCAAGAACACCCCCACACACACCAATTGCTAATCAACCAAAGCATCTGCAGAAGGCAGCCTATCCTATTTTCTAACATTTGCAGGCTTTTTGCTAAATTTCAAATAGTCAGAAAATCAGAGTGTTCAGCACTCATCTTTCCTTGCATGAATTCACAGGATAGGAGAAAACTGCCCAACTCGTACTGACATTCAGGATTAGTATTTATAGAGATGTGAAATTATCTAAACAGCTATGATGAGGATCTGACTGAAGAGTAAAAAAAAGAGAAAGATAAGTAATCATCTCAGCATTCCAGTAGTCTGCATTCAGTTTATACTGAGAAATCCTTTACAGGAAGCAGAAAAACTAGATGATGTGCAGATGGATCAAAATTAGGACTGTTCAGAGTGTTAATGAAGAAATCCCATCCCCATCTTAGTGCTACTGAATAGACCAATGTGAGAATTGTGAGAACAAGGTGCAAAGAGATGTTTCCTTACTGACACCCGCTATTAATGAGGTTCATGTGTCAGGCAGACTCAGAATGGACCAGGTGAAGAAGTGGAAAGCTGTGTTACAGAAGGACCCCAACAGGAACTAGGACAAGGTCTTATGATGCTACCAGTAAAATGATTTAGCTTGAAGAAACAGAAGGCAAAACTGGTCAGGGTCATAGCTAACTAAAATCAGAAGCAAAACTGAGTATGTTACCAGCTCACTTCTCTGAAAGAGGCTTGTATAACCAAGCCAAATTGTCAGTGCACATTGGTAGACTGTTCCTCTAAGAGTCCACTAAAGACTGTAATGCTAGGGGATTACTGCTGTGCAGCTTCATTGACACATAGCTTTACATGGAAGCCTGGACAGTTTTTTTGTTCTGCAAGATCTTGGTTCCAAAAAGTAGGAAAACCAATACCTCCTTTTCCTCTCTTTATACTTTTAATCAACATAATCAGTTGCCAATATAACTTACATTTGTAGGGTATGCTAGATAAAGTGATTACCTAGTGACCTACCTATCTAACAGCTTAGTTTATAATAGAAGATGCTTCCTTAACTGAGGTCTCATCAAATTTTGCTTTAAAAGCTTCTAAAGTGAACCACATTTCAATTTAAACATGTTTCAAGTTAAAATATTTATCAAAGAAGATTAAAATGTTTAGCAAATGTATACATTATGTGCATTAATGTGGGACAAGCCACACTAACATTTACAGTGAGTTTAAATAAAAGCATCTTACAGACACGCTCATACTTAAGCGATGAGCGCATTTTTGTATACATATATTAACTCCTATTTTTTCTGCAGACTGTCAGTTATAAATACAGAAATGACTGCCAAGAAAATATGTTAATAAATGAATAAATCAAAGCAAATTTTGGTTCACTTATCTAGTGATAGGCACAATAGTAAAAATGCCAGCTGCCACAAGAGGAGAGATCATCTGTCTTACCACTACAACACAACAGCAATGAGAAATCAGTAACAGATATGCAGCAGTAAGGGTAGGGCTGGCTGATCATATGTAGCCTCAGTTTTACCAACTGGGAGAAAAAGCTATGAAGGCAATGTACACAGTACTCAGTCGACTTCAAAGCCTTTTTGTTTGTTTGAATCTGAATTCTGCATGTTGGTCATGATAGCGGAAGATCTACTGTTCAGTCCTTGCCTGTAAATTGGATGTATGAATCTGTCTGTTCAACCCAAGAATTAATGAGTGCAGTAGAAGGTCTTTTCTTTCCCTGTCACTTATTGATGGTTGCTCTTTTATTATAAGACAACAAGTTATACAAATGTGTAAACCTGTAAGGAATAAGAAACCCATCTCCTATAAAAAGGCATAATTCAAATAAAAGTAAACCAACTAAAAATATCACAAACAAGAAGCAGTGAAAAGCCTGACAGTCTCAGTGGAAACCTTTACAGAGATAATTCATGGAAATAATCTTGATCTGAGAAAAACAGAAGTAAGCATTCTGTACATAAGAATAGCATTAAGTCTTGTGAATATCTTGGATGAAGCAAGAAAAAAAGCAGTAAATGTATTCTGATACCACTCTGACCAAATTATTTTTGTATTCTACCAAGGTCTCTCAAAAGATGCATAAGATCTTCTCCCAGTACATGATACTGCTTGACATGAGGATATGGGACAACAGGTTGTGGCTCAGCATGGCGTGGTATGTGGAGCTGGGCAGCCGTGGGAGGCTCCCCTTCTCAATGACCTCAATGAAGGGGATGCACCCAGCCACAGCTTCTCTCTTTCTCTGTGACACCATATACCCTGCATGCAGTTAGCTATCACATTTCAAGTCAAGCTAGCCAGTTCAAAAAGTCATGGAACTGGAGATAGGATGGGATATCTGTTCCATGCTGAGATATGTGGGATTTTCAAAGCAGTTGAGTCTGGGAAACAGTTTAATGACCTTCAGGTCTATGGCTTTTAAAGTACTAAATATGTGGAACTTTGCACCATCTTTTTGTACTTTTCATGTTTTTTGTTCCTTCTGCAAATGCTTTTCAAGATGAGAAGGATAAACTGGGATTGTGCAACAGTCTGAGGAAATGCTCATTCCTGGGTGGTGCTCAATTCATTCCAATGACTTATTAAAGAACAAGATTCCACTGGCGCTCATCACAGGAACAAGATCATTAATTAGGTGGGCAAGGAAGAGCTTTAACTGAAGACACCAGTGAGATTTCATTGGCTTTTAGTAGCTTGAAGTAGATCTGATCCTTCACATGACTGCACCAAGTTTTATTTACAGGGAGAGCAAAATCTCTTATTTTTGGAGGAAGAGTCTAATACAAAAATTGAAGCAGGCAGAAAGATTGTGGGGTTCTCCACTCAAAATCATTTTAAATGCTGCAAATACCACTTCCCACCATAAATGGAGGATGCTTGAGTTATCACAGAATCAGAGAAGGTTGGAAGGGACCTCTGGAGGCATCTGGTCCAAGCCCCTGGTCAAGTAGGGCCACCCATTGCAGGTTTCCCAGGACCATGCCCAGGCGTTTTTTGAAGATCTCCAAGGAGGAGATTGCGCAGCCCCCCTGGGAAATCTGTGTCAGTAGTCTGTCACCTGCACAGCACAGAAGTGCTTCCTGATGTTCACGTGGAACCCCTTGTGTTCCACTCTGTGCCCATTGCCTCTTCTCCTGACACTGGGCACCACTGAAAAGAGCCTGGCTTCATCTTCTTTGCACCTTCCCTTCTGGCATTTATAGACATTGACAAGATCCCCCCTGAGCCTCTAGTTCTCCAAGCTGAACAGCTGTAGCTCTGTCAGCTCTTCATAGGAGAGGTGTTCCAGTCTCACAGTCATTTTGGTGGCCCTCTGCTGCACTCTTTCCTGTATATCCCTACCTCCCTTGTACTGGGAGGCCCCAAACTGGACACAGCACTCCAGGTGCAGCCTCACCGCTACTAAGTAGAAGGGAAGGATCACCTCCTTTGATCTGCTGGTGATACTGTGCCTAATGCAGGCAAGAATATCACTAATTTTCTTGGCAGCAAGGGCCCATTGCTGGCTCTTGGTCAACTTCGTATCTTCCAGAACCCCCAGGTCCTGCAGTGCAGAGCTGCTTCCCAGCTGGGTGGGCCCAGCATGTCCCGGGGTGCCTGAGGCTGTTCCCCCCCAGGGGCAGGACCAGGCACTTCTCCTTGAACTTCACAAGCTCCTTATCAGCTCATCTCTCTGGCCTTATGGGTGCTACCTTGGCACTTCCTCCCCTGGGTTTAATGCATTGGGAAGTTTCTGGACTGGGATTACAGCTTCATGAGAGAAACGCGTGTGCCTGGGCTTTCTTAGTGGGCAGGTTTTGTAAACTTCCACATGGCTCCCCATGGGCAGGAGCTGATGCTTGGTTTAGTTGGCACCGAAAACCACAATTCTCATGATTTTCAATAGCAAATGTTTTGATGTGTAGGGCTTTCCTTAATGCTATTTTCAGTTCCCTTAAAACGTCTCCATTGCTGGAATCATGTTGTTCCATAAAACTCATTTGACATAAATAAAATAAAATAAAATAAAATAAAATAAAATAAAATAAAATAAAATAAAATAAAATAAAATAAAATAAAATAAAATAAAATAAAATAAAATAAAATAAAATAAAATGCTTTTGTCCCTCCAAGAAAAAAAGGAAAAGGAAAAAAAAAAAGAAGCGCAACCCTCCACACACTTTTAGTCCCCCAAAGTAATAAAAATAAATAAGCAAATAAATATAAGCAATTGTATTTCAGTCACAGTGAAAAGAACACGGAAAACATTTTATTTATTTATTATACACATTTTATTTTTAAACGCGAGCCGTTTCCCTCCCGCCTGACCCCCCTCGCGGCCCGTAGCGGCTCGCCGTGCGCGGCTCCTCACCGGGCCGCGGCGCATGCGCAGCGCGGGGTGGCGGCGGCAGCGGCGGCGCCGGGGGGGGTAGCGGCGGGGCGCGGGCCGCGGGGCGGGGCGGGAAGGGAAGGGGGCGGATGGCGGCGGGGCGGCGCCATGTTGCGCTGGCTGGTCGCGCTGCTCAGCCGCTCCTGCTTGGTCTCCAAGGGCGGCGCCATGTTCTATGCGGTGCGCAAGGGCCGGCGGACCGGCGTCTATCGCACCTGGTAAGGCCCCGCCGCCGGGGCAGAGCCGGGAGCAGCGGGGCTGAGGCGAGCTGGGCCGAGCCGGGCCGGGCCGGGCCGGGCTGACCAGACCTGACCTGAGCTGACGGAGCCGCCGGGCGCTGTGTTGCAGGGCGGAGTGCCAGCAGCAGGTCGACAGGTTCGCCGCCGCCAGATTCAAGAAGTTCGCCACCGAGAGGGAAGCCTGGGCCTTCGTGAACGGCGGCACCTCCGGGGAGCAGCAGCAGCAGCAGCAGCAGCCTGCGCCGGCAGATAGCTCGCCTCCCCTCGCCTGGCTCCCTACGGCCATAAATAAGAGTAAATACCCTTGTCAATATGTTATACGTGTTGGGGTTGGAGTTAAAGGGTCTTTAAGGTCTCTTCCAGGGAAGGACTTGGGGGTTCTGATGGATGAAAAGCTCGACATGAGCCAGCAGTGTGCGTTTGCAGCCCAGAAGGCCAGCTGCATGCTGGGCAACATCAACAAGAGGCATGGCCAGCAGGGCGAGGGAGGGGATTGTGTCTACTTGGCTCTGGTGAGGCCCCACTTGGAGTACTGCATCCAGGTCTGGGGCCCCCAGCACAAGGAGGATGTGGAGCTGTTAAAGTGGGTCCGGAGGAAGGCCACAAAGATGATCAGAGGGCTGGAGCACCTCTCCTATGAAGAAAGGCTGAGAGAGCTGGGGGTGTTCAGCCTACAGAAGAGAAGAGTCTGGGGTGACCTCATCACAGCCTTTCAGTACTTTAAGGGGTTTTATAAAAAGGATGGAGAAGGACTTTTTACTTGGCTAGATAATGATAGGATAAGGGGGAGTGGTTTTTAAACTAAAAGAGGGGAGATATAGATTAGAGGTTCGAAGGAAATTCTTCGCTCAGAGGGTGGTGAGGCACTGGAGCAGGTTGCCTAGAGAAGTTGTGGATGCCCCATCCCTGGAGGTGTTCAAGTCCAAGTTAGGTGAGGCCTTTTTGTAACCTGATCTAGTGAGTGGCATCCCAGCCTATGGCAAGGGGTTAGAACTAGATGGTCCTTGAGGAACCTTCCATTAAGGACCCTTACAACCCAGGCTCTTTTATGACCCTGTGATTCTAAGATTCCAACCCGAGCTGTTCTGTGAGTTGGTATGGGTTTGCTTATGCTGGGTCTGTTTTTGTTTAAAGGCTGTTAATTGAGACTCAACTTCACTTTGAGCTGGAACTAAGAATGACTGGTATATATGATCATATTTTTTTCCATATTTTTTTGGGGGGAGGCATCATTTTAATAGATTGACATTGCCATTAGGTGTAAACAAAATTGGTGTCTTAAGTTGTTTTGAATAAAACTTGATCCTATGTACGTAGGTGGGGTTTTTCTTCTATTTTTTTCTTTTTTATTTGAAGATGCCCATGGTCCTTCAGCTGTAATACAGGAAAATGTTAGCCAGAGAGAGGAACCAGCAGAAGACCTCTTCTGTTGCGGTACATGTAAAAGGCCATATGAACAGTCTGCAAATGAAGAACATACCGCCAAACGTGCAAAACATGATGAGGTGCACTTGGCACCAACAGTTAGTGGAGACAAATTTTCATATATGGGTAAGGTCTGTCATTCTTCCTGTAATTCATTTGAGCTGTCTGTGTTCTTCTATAATCAGCAGTGTAACTATTAGAAAGCTTTTATGGAGGTTTTCTATGGCAGCACCTAGCTGTCATAGTGTAACACTGTTGTTTTTTCTTTTTAAATAATAATCTGAGCCACCATATATTATTTCACGTTGTGTTTTCAATGTAATATAAATTGGCTTAAGTGACATCAGCATACAGCTTTATCAGGTTGTTACAATTGTGATATTTACATGCATCTAGATTACAGTCTTCATTTAAATACAGGCATAGCTGGAAAATTTTAATGTTGACTGAAGAAGACAAGAACTGTAGAGAGAATTTGGAACTTGGTGCAAAGATGCTTCGTGATGCTGACTTATTTGGGAGCAGTGAGGGTGTGAAGCTGCAGTGGGACTTCTGGTGTTCTGCATTCCTAATTTATTTGGGTAGTTTCTGTAGATAACATTTTGAAGGGTTGTTCAGGGAGTTTGGGCATTGATCTGCTAGCAGACATTTCCTTCTGCTTGAAGAGCCTGTGTCCTTGAAAGACTGCTTAAACTTCTGCTTTTGGGACTTCTCCTGCAGGTGACTTTGCAGTTGTTTATACAGATGGTTGCTGCTCGGGTAATGGACGTAACAGGGCACGTGCGGGAATAGGTGTCTACTGGGGACCAGGCCACCCTTTGTAAGTAATCGGGTGGGTTCTTTTTTGTATATGCTAATACTTGTTTTGGGTGTTGTTAACAGTACTGGCCTCCTTTTGAATATAAAGTCCTGCTAGTGAGACTTGTCTTAATGATAGTGCTGTTAGAATAATGAGTTACTGCAGGAAGACAGAAACCAGCTTTTCTAGGAAGTAAGGTTGTAGAGAAAAATGATTGGAAATAATATTTTTAAGAGGCTAAAGCTGGAATACAAGGGATGCAGGAAGTCTTAAAATCATTGTAGTTGTGCACAGTAGACAGCAAGAGTAACTACAGATTGATGGCAGGTGCAGATATGCAGGTTGCACTGCGTAGGAGAAGTTAGACTCTAGAATTTCCAATCGTCTCCTTTATAAGACAAAAAATATCTCTGTTTTATGTATGCTTCTAATATGTAATGATTGTACACCACTGATAATTTTGAGTTACTAATCTACTATTTGTTCCTTGAATACAGAAATATCAGTGAAAGACTTCCTGGACGGCAGACTAATCAAAGAGCTGAAATACATGTAAGTAGTAAACACCCTAAAATGCTTCTGTACGAAGAAAGCAATAGTATGCTCATGATTATTTCAGCTCTGGCCTTCAGAAACCAGTTAGGGAGCTGTGAGGGAAGTACACAAAATGCCAGGAGTTCAGGACTTGAAACAAATTGTTCTCCTTAGGTTTTACGGTTTTTATTGCTTTCAGACAAGCAGTAACTCAGCTTGAGAACTCCCAAATGTCATCAGGCCAAGCACAGATATTTAAAACAACCTTTGCATTAGGAAAGTTCTCAAATCTCTGTAGTATCCTTTGTATTATTAATGTGCACATCTCAGACTTTGCGTAACGGCTGCTTTAGTTGTGGTTAAGAGGATAATTGCTTTCTTACTGTGTACAGTCAGAGTATTGTATTTCTTTGATAAATATAATAAGTAATTTTCAGAGTAGCTTCTGTTACTTTTGAAGTAAAATTCTCTTGGCATTAGCAGATTTAGTCTTCGCCTGCACAGTGTAGGAGGTAAACTGAAAGGGGAAGCTGATCTCCTTAAAAATGTCAAGAAGTTCCTTTTAGTGAGGGACAAGCAGAGCTGATGGGTTTGCCAGGGTTCAAACTTAGCATTGGAGAGTTCTTCAGCTCTACATTCAGTCCAACCTACTTCTCTTATTATATTTCATAGCACCAAGAGAAAAGCACAATCTACCTTTTAGGGGTTCCAAGCAGTTGGAATGTGTATGCATTCTTGTTCTATAAAGTTACAAAGATGCCTAAAACTCGATGTGCTATTGAGAGAGCTTGGGTAGTTACTCAAATGGGCAGAGAGCTGCTCCTGCAGTAAAGAATTGAACATCAGGTTTAATTTTTTTTTAAATGCTAGGGAAACTTAAGTTACTTTCTGTTTTTCTGATTCAGTAAGTGATCATCTGCATCCGTAATTTTGGAAAACTATGCTGTAAAGCATGATGGTATTCAGTGATGGAGAGACTGCAGTAATATTCTTTCTAGTTCTTCTGTATTAACATCAGGTACTTGGCTGGTATTTTAGTTACATGTGTTCAAAATCATGTGTTGAATTGTGCTTCTGTTGAAATGTTCTTAAGGCAGCCTGCAAAGCAATTGAGCAAGCAAAGAGTCAGAACATCAAGAAACTAATTATCTACACTGATAGCAAGTTCACTATTAACGGTAAGTTGATGGCTTTCCTGATTTTTCAAAGGTGTTGTGCACAATTTCATCGTATAAGGCCCACAGAACTTACTGGGGCTTGGGGAGATGAGTATAAAGATGAGAATGCCTAACAGAATTCAGTACTCATGACTGCTTGATGAAAAACTTTGAGAATATTGGAAGGATGATCTGCTAACTGTATGAGATATAATTAGAGACAAAATACCCATTACTGGGAAGAATGAAGAAGTAGCTAAAGAATTTTTGTCTTAATACGTTTGGTATGACACACACAGTCTAGAAAAATGTTGTTCATGTACATGCTGTTAAGGATGCACTCAGAAGCTGGTGTAGTGACCCTGTAGTTTCATTTTGGCTTGGGTTTTGTTTGGAATGGAGAAACTACACAAACTTGAAGTACAGTTATATTTCCTGCTTTTCATGTGTGGAGAGAAGCAATAGAAAATTCTGTAAGTTGTTTCTTAACATTTACTGTCCTTAATTCAATTTAAAAACCAGAGCAGGGGCAGAACACGAGTCCTTGATACTTTGCTTCTAATCAGAACCTCTTTCAGACACATGCAAGCTAACAGAATTTGAAATGAGCAGGAAGTGACAGGTCCAGCAACTCGTTCGTTAATCAAAGCTATTCTGTATATTTATCTAGTTTGTTTTAATATGAGAAAAGCAGGCCTGCAGTGAAGTATAAATGGATGTGATTTGGCTTGTTTTTTAGGGGGTTCGGTATGCAAGGTCCATGATTCTTTGTTTGATTCAGGTCTTTTGTTATGAAAGCAGTAGGGATGTCTCATACTGTCCAGAGCAGCAAAGAGATGAAAAAAAAAAAACAACCAACCAACAAAACAAACAAACAAAAGTCTTTGTTTAAGGAATAATATGGAAATTTTGCTGGCCAGCAATGGATGGCCAGAATGTTAGATCTTGTTCTGTAGAAATCTGTGCATGTGGTCCTTTTCTAAAATGTTCTGTTTAGCTTGCAGAAGCCTTAATATGTCTGTTATTCCAATGTGTGTCTCTTCAATTTCTCAAACCCAATTTGTTCCAGCTTAGTGTACAGTCAAGCAAATCCTTAGCTTCAGTTTGTTGAAGTGCGGGTCATAAATGGATGTGTAATGTGTATTTAACATTGTAGTCTTCAAATATCTGTTTGGGAAAACATTGGCAAGTAACTGAAGCAGAAATGGAAAAACACAATTCTGAAAGACAGTAGCAGGGAACCAAACAATGTCTCCTATATTTGATGTCTTTGCCTGAGACTTTGTTTGGAGTTAATGCATTGAAAGACCTGTTAAATGGTTGTTTGCTGCATCGTGATCCTTGCTGACTTCTCTGATGTTTTATGGTAATACTCCCTGTGCACAGGTATTACAAGCTGGGTTGACAACTGGAAAACAAATGGCTGGAGAACAAGTTCGGGAGGAAGTGTAATAAATAAAGAAGATTTCGAAAGACTTGATAATCTATCAAAAGGCATAGAAATTCAGTGGGTGAGCATCTCATTTCATGGTCTTACTGACATCTTAAATACTCTTGTAAATTCTTATTAAGTATGACTGTAACAAAGAATTTTACAAGATGTTATATTGTACATCTCTAAATACAGTAAAGCTGCTTGTTCTTCTTGAAGTAAGATGATCACTTCAGTGTAAGCTAGGCTCTTCTAACTACCATTTCATTTATTGAAACACATGTTTATATTTTTGTTGCTGTTTCTCTTGTTACTACTTAGAAGACATCTGTAATAGTTACGTCTGGTTTTGGAAACCTGAGCTTGGAACATAACTGTGTCTTCTTGAGCTGTTGCTCAGCTCCTCGATTTGCTTTTCAGAATTCTCTAAATGCTGGTTCTTTCGTTTAACTTAATCACGAGTGTCTTTAAACAGGGAAAATTAAGACAGTATACCCCAAATAAACTAACTCCAGTTTTCTGTACCGTAACAGCATTTTTTTCCATGAAAACTGGGTGCAGAAAGGTCATTAAAATATCCATTGTGTTAGTTTCAAATTACTTAGCTCTCTAGTAGAGAAGTAAAACCATGTCTATACATGTATTATTGATAAAAGGTATTTTTCTGTAACCACTAATAGCAGTGCTAAACATCATAGGGTATGTCTTCTCCTCCCCACCTCCGAATTTGCCTCTAATTGCAGTAAAGGAGTGCTGATTCTAGAAGTACGTCTCTGTGCCATTGACTTCATGGCCACTAATGGCATATTTATTGGACTTCTGTGTCCGCTCTGTAGAAAACAGTGGGGTAGTTCTTCAGCATGCTCTTCTACAGGAGAAGTCTGTTGCAGATGTTCTGTCATTCATGTTGTCTGTGTTCCAGAGTTCGCAACTCCCACTAGATTATGTATAGTTACTCTTATTGTTTATTGAGTAGTAAAAATTGTAAAAATCTAAACCTAAGGTTGAAGTTCAGCTGTGCATAGTGTATTTTATATTAAAAAAAAATGTATGTACATCCATTCCATCTGAATCTCTCAAACTTTGAGAGACACTTTATTTCCAGAGGAGAAATGTATTCAGGCACCTTTTTTATGGTAATGGATCTGCTGAAGCAGAGAGTTGTTCTCACACATTCTTTCACTTCTCTCTCTTACAGCTGCTGGTAGTGGCTTTTACCCTTTCTTAAATACGCTGCCACAGGGAAGCCACCAGTTCAGCTGGTACAGCTGTGTCCTGTGGTTGGTCTGTCTTAGAACTGTCTGTGTGTGGCACAAGACAGCCCCTGGCTGCTTCTCACAGAAGCCACCCATTGGAGCCCCTGCCCCAAGCTAACAAAACCTTGCCTAGGAGACCTAATACAATCTCACAAGTCCTTCATATTTGTCTTCTCTCAGGTCTTGTCAAATGACAAGCCTGATTTTCTTACTTTCTTTCTCCCCTGTCCACCCTTACTTGTGACAAGGATTGATCAAGGGCTGAAAGTATTTTTTGTTTCTTATTTTTAAGGATGGATAGTAAAGACATCTGAAAATCAAGAGATTGTTTTCATATCCTGTTGCTGTATTCTGAGTGCTGTAATCACCGAGGCTATTGGTTTTAGTGGCATAGAGGTCTCTGGCTTTCTGAGAAAAGGTTAGCTTGGTTTAAGCATGGAATGCAGAGGGATTTTCTTTCTGCTGAAAGTAGGACTTTTGAGTTAGTGTCTAAGTCTTGCTGCTGTTACCTACACTTCTTAGGTTAGGTGGTCCTTATCCAGACCACCACTTCTCATAGCAGTGTTTTTCATAATTTGGCGGTTCAGTTCTTGCTCATTGAAGAGACTACAAAGATTACTGGGAAGGACACAGTTCCCATGTGAGGCATGTGAACGGGAGGGAAGTACATGACCAAATTTCATGGATATACTTTTTTTCCTTGATTTCTTCCATACTTAACACTCTTGTACTTTTGTCCTGACAGATGCATATTCCTGGTCATGCTGGTTTCCAAGGGAATGAAGAAGCTGACAGACTGGCAAGAGAAGGAGCTAGTAAATAAATGTGACATATTAGGACTAGAGACTACTGCACTTGCAGGAAAAGGACTAACATTGCAGTGACGATTTGAACTGCTGTTCTTGTTCCGGAGTTGAACTTTGAACTGTACTTATTTCTGGCCTGAAGCGCTAACCGTACACCAACGGTGGGAGAAGAAGAAAAAAATCAACATGTTGTATTCTGCACTTTTTGCTTTGCAATCAAGTCAATATTTAGTTGATCATATACAGTGTTTGCTTTTTTCTCCATCTTAACCGAAGCGCTGCTGTCAGTGTCTTTTAGCAGTCTCATAGACGTTTGGATTCACCAGAAAGACAGACTTCTGGAGAAATTACATTAAATCTTTACCCTATGTGTTCTGTATTTCCCTCTTATAATGAAATAAATTAATTTTTTTTTGTACAGAGATATATATAAAAAGTGCAAAGTCATTGAGGGGTGTGGAGTGAGTTGGTTGGTTTGGTAAGAGATGATAACCTAACATGGAGATGTTAATGTGCCTTGGCATTCTGACAGCAGCAGTAATCTCTCTGCAGGTAGCCTTGCAATGCTCACATGTGCCTCACGGTATCGCCAGTGACAGCACCTGTAGATTTCTTCATTATGTTACTTGCTGTTGCTAGTTGGCAAGAACAAATTAAAAACCCAGGTCATGAGAGAACTTGAACAATCAATTTTTACTGTTCTTCTCTCTAGCTGCTTCTAAATGTCCAAGTTCTTGGTTTCTGGCTTCCTGTCTCCAATATGTCATTATTTTAATGTGTATGGGTTCCCATTATCATTGTTTAGCTTCCTCTTCACTGTTGTCCCAGAGGTAATAATTGGCCATTTCATCTGAAATGGAACTAGAAGATGATCAGCTTCTTCACATCTTCCGGATGTCAAGTGTTTGACTTCTTTTTTTTCCAGTCAATGATGAGACTAATGGAATGGCTAATGTGCACTTGAATTAGAGAGTAATTACTACTAATCAACAAAAGTTTTATTTTCTGTGCATCTATATAGGAAGAGCAAACATTTGCAACATTATCGTTATCAACTTCTTTGTAAGACACCTTAATGCCACTGAGTAGTAGGGCCTAAGCTAGAAGTCGTTGAATCTTTTTTGTATTTGTTAATTGCTGTATAAAATGGTGGAGCTGCTGAAGCTTGGTTTCTTAATGGTTCTCACTTCCTTACAGTGTTCTTACTGTGGCAGAGTGCATGCTTGTAGGCATGTAGTGTCACGTGAATTGTGATGGAGCTAGGAAACTGCCTGGTTGTGCTATTGACTGATAGATGAGTGAGGTTTTCTTTTATTTTTTCATCCAACATTGCACGGCAGTTCCTGTAACTGCACCTGTAGGGGTGAGGTAGTACCCTGATTAGAGTTTGCCATCTGCTTTTTTTGATGTATGTGTAGATATGTATATACATATACATACACACAATTGTCCTGTTTGTTTATTGTAGAGGTTAGACTTTAAGGAAAGAACGTAGTTGTCCCTGATCAGATCATTAGTTGAAACCGTTTAAGTGTGACAATGTACTGAAAAGGTGTCATCTAATAATCTGTGTATCATACATCTCAGGGTAAACTTGCAGATCCTATTTATTGTATAGAAATCTCTGTTGTTTCAAGCAGTGGCTTTGAAGAAAATGTGTAAATAATGATGGGCATATGGTAACAGCAGTGTAACACTGTATTGTATTTAAGTTACTTTACTGTCTGAAGGAGTTCCTCAATGTGGAAACAAGGAATCTGATAGGAAATAGTTTTATGTTAATTTGATACCAATGTTTATCATTCTATTTCTCGAAATTCAAAATAGAGGAAAGCTGAAAGAAAGCTGCAAGGTAAGGCTGATATTTCTCAGAGGATTGAGAACGCAAAGAAGGTTGGCTGTAGAAGTTCTTCATAGTGAATTAAAACTTAAATAGGATATTGCCATTTAATAGACATGCTTCAGTGGATAGGAATTAAAGTTCTGGCTGGGTTTGTGCTTCTAAAAATGTGCGTAATTAATCAGCATTAGACCAACTTACCTATAGTGTTTTGGGACTTGCAGTTAGTTTTATCCAGGAGTGCAATTATGTGAAATATACCTTAAAGAGATCTGGTAACATTTCTAATAATCCAAGAAATATCTGTAAGACTAGTCATTTTGGTGAGTAAATTTCTCACTTTTTATGAAAATAGGACAGCACAACCTTTATGGGAAGCATGTTCCAGTGTTTTACTATCTCCTTTTTTCTCCTTTTTCCTCATGTATTTTTATTTCTCCGTGTTTGGATGCTGCAATGCAGGTGTTTGAGGCTGAGACCAACTGGTGCGTTCACCCTTGAGCATTACTAGTGCAGACCAGTAAGCCAAGCTGATTTTTAAGTTAGGCACGATGTGTGCTGCCACCAGCCACCAAGCCTGGCACTTGCAGGAAACCTGTTCACCGAGCCCAATTTGTCCACGGAGACCTAGAGCTCGAGGCATGCTTTCATTGCTCGCGATGTCGAGCCGAAGCCTGTAAGGGAAAGTAACAGCTATTTACGCTGTGCCTGTGCTTCCAGGGCTTGAAATGGTCCTGAAAACGAAAACAAAAACAAAAAAAAAAAAGAAAAAAACGCGGCCCCGGGAGCTGCTCGCCGAGCTCTCCCCGGGGCGGGCCGCAGCGCGCCGCTCCCGCCCAGCCCAGCCCGGCCTCGGGGAGGCTCCCGCTGCCAAAGAAAAAAAAATAAATAAAAATGGTGGAGGCCTGGTACATGGACGAGTCCCAGGAGGACCAGCGGGCGCCCCACAGGCTGCAGCCCAACCGCGCCGTCAGCCTGGAGCAGCTGCGCTTCCTCGGCGTCACCTACCGCAAAGTAAGCGCCGGGCCCCCCCCACCCCGAGCGGGACGCGGCTGAGCGAGGCCCCGGCGCCGCGCCTAAAATGGCGCCGGGCCCCCGGCGCTGAGGCGGCAGCCGGGGGGGTCGCCCTAATGCCTGCCGCTCCCCTTCTCCTCACGCAGCGCAGGCACCAGGAGTCTGAGCTCTGTGTCGGTGCTGAGGGCTCTTCTGAAGCACAGCACCAGCCGTGCTGGGCCGTGTGGTGGTCGTGCAAGAGCCCCCCTTTCCTGCGTGCATCAGGCAGAAGGGCTGCGTGACGGGGAATTTCTGTCACAAACTACAAATCGGGCATGCCTCAGCTGTAAAACGCGTTCATTAAGAGCTCGTGATTTTCTCTCCCCTGTAATCGCACCTCAGGGGCTTGAGGAGTGCAGCACAAGCAGTGCTGCAGAATTGGGAGTACCTCGGGGGGACGGGGACATACATTGTTGGCCTTTGAAGTGTGCTGCACGCTGTGTGAGGTAGGGACATGCTGCAAGAGTCAATAAACCGTGGAAAATCCCGCAGTTATGAAACCTCAGGTAACCTTCCATTTTCCTGCTTTTAGTAGCTCTCCCACTTTCAGAAATTTGGCATCTGAGCAGAAAAAGTGGAGTGTATCCAAGGCAATTTATTAATACGTTTCTGGCATAATCAGCAAAGACCCCAAAGTTACTACTTTATAATTTAATCTTATTTATTGGTGCCATGCTGCTGCTGTTTTGTGTATAACAATAACTTTGTGTGCTTGGAAGCAAGTCATGCCGAGTGGGGAAGTGGTGCTGAAAGCAGCTGGCATGTCTGCCAGCATCTCCAAACCTCAGAAACCTGGGATGCAGAGGTAGCAGGAAGGCCTCCCAGATTATTTCCGTGTGAAGGTGGAGAGGATATAGGTAAATCAAATGAATCCGGCCCTTGAATGATATTAAGGTTGTAAAAGCAATGTGAGAAGGCAAGTATAGTTTTCTTCAGGGGTAAGTCCATATGGGATGTCCATGCTGATTTCAAAAGCTTTTTTCTCCTTTTCTTTAATCATTCTTGGTTTTCCCCCATGATAACCAAAGAGTAACTCTGTTGGACTTGTTAGTATCTGGTATATCATTTGGCATGCAGTAGTTGTGCACTCATGCATTGAACTTTCAATCTTGGAAGGTAGTGGTACGTGCCTTGTGTACCTATGAGAAGCTAACTTAGCTACCCACTGGTGTTATTTGTCTCTCCACTGACATTCTCAACAACTTTGTTTTTTCCTGATTAATATCTTGAATTGCATCTTAAGCGATTGTCTGAATTCATTTTTTTTTCTGCCTATTTTTCAGTTGGATGCTGATAACTATGAGACTGATCCATGTCTGAAAGAGATTCGGAAAGCGGAAAATTATTCTTGGATGGATATAATAACTATACATAAAGACAAGCTTCCAAATTATGAAGAAAAGGTATGTAAGCTTTTGCTTTGAATGAAGATTTGTATTCTGAAGTCCATTGCTAGTGTGTGCAGCCAGCTTCGTAACACACGTTCATTGTGAGCAGAGTCTCAGGGGTGAGATTTCCATGTTTAAAATACATTCTGTTCAGAAGTCCTTAACTTAAAAAAAAAAAAAAGTCCTTTCTTAAAAAAAAAGAAAAAGAAAAAAGTTTTGATACTGATTTTCAAATGGGAGGGGGAGATAGGTTTTTCGCTTCTTAGATTGGCTTCAAAGTTTTTTAGGTTAGTTCCCATGACTGTGTCATTTTGAACATAAGGTTCCTACAAGTAGAGCCCTGTAGATATGGACCTGACTTCAGAGAGACTAACAAACTGGGATGAAGGCAGGTTGTTGCCAGCTCTTCATGAGATTTGAAGGCCAAAACATCCTAATGGCTGTTGCAAAATTCATCTTTTCGAAGGAACATATCATGGAATTTGAGGGATACATTCCCCTTACAAGAAGATTTGTTAACTTGGGCGGCTAACAGCGTGGCTATTTCAAAGCAGCTGAATACGAACAGTGCCAGGCTCTGAGATGAGCCTTCTAAAAGGAATATTCTCCCTGCCCCAGGGTGTTGGACTGCTGTTCTGGCCTGAATACAACAACCTGGTGGCATTTCCATATTTTCATTCAATTTTTGTCCATATACTGGTTTGTTTTAAGTGTATTGTGTTACACTGGCATTAAATTTTTTACAAGGTGAATTAGGTTGTAACTCAAGTGTCCTGTGTGAGCTCAACGATACAAAGATAAGCCTTTACTCACTGGGAACATGGACTTTTGCTCATTTTGCTGTGCTGAATCAGTAAAGGCTGAGGTCTGTTTCAGGCCCACCTGCTCTAGCATGGCTAAACAGCATCCAGAACTAAACAGATGATGTTATCTGGTATAGAACATTTAAAGCATTTTTAGAAGCATCCAGAGACTGTCTCTGGCTGATTGGATTGGCTGTTTTAATCCTATTGGTCTCATCTGTCAGTTAAATCACTGCATAGTTAGAAAGCCTTTGTCTGCTTTGCCAAATGTTTCAGCCACATTTTTTAGCAGTGCTTTTGTGTTCAGTAGTTTTAAAAGATACCTGCTATCCCTAGATAAAAACATTTTATGAAGAACATTTACACCTAGACGATGAAATTCGCTACATCTTAGATGGATCTGGCTATTTTGATGTTCGAGACAAGGATGACAAATGGATCCGAATTTCCATGGAGAAAGGAGACATGATAACCCTCCCTGCTGGCATATATCACCGATTTACGCTGGATGAGAATGTATGTTACTATAGTTTACTGTAAGTTTTGATGACAAATGTCTGTGAGTGTATATCTTATTAGTAACTGCATGCCCTGAGACTTTGCAGTTCATTAGCAAAGCATATTAAATATGAAGTAGGAATATGAAAAATACTAAATAATTCACAGCATCTGAACCTTTCATCTCCAGGTCACAAATCCAGCTTCATCTCATCGGCTGTAACTGCAAGTCATTGCCACGTGATACCCATAGTGTATTTTGTGTGACAGTGGTGTCATAGCCAGGCCCTGCCTGCAGCAAGATTGCCCCTACTGCCACTTGTGGCATGGAGATGGATCCTTCTGTGTTACCTTGTTGGGTGTCTTTGTACGGAGAGACAGAGCATACCTGTCTAGATCAGTGGCATTCTTTATAAGCGCTAAATTCACCTTCAGGGAAAGAATGATTTAAGGGTCCAGAGCCACTACATGCAGCTGGCGTATGCCAGACTGAACGCTTGCTTCACAGGAGGTGACCTGCTTTTGGAGAGTATTTTTGGCAACAGGACTGTGAGATTGAGAGTCCTGAGCTGTGTGCCTGCCCTTGTGGACTTCTACATGTATGTTTTTAATCTCAGCATTAGCCCTAGAAAAAGGGGAAATGTGTGTCATTGTCTCCTGTGTAGCAAGATCCCATCTCTGGCAGGGTCCTGACTGTGGTATAATTTTGAATCAGCTGCCCAGGTAGCAGTTAGTGTCTATGAAAAAAATAAAAACATGCTTTAGTGAAAAACCCAGCTTCTCATGTCTACATTTTGAGATCCACAATGAATCAGCTACAAACATTATTTTAAGGCTTTTTCATTACATGCACAGAATGTAATGGGTTATGGGTTGAATCCACAAAAAGTCGTAAACATTTATGTCCACTTCAGGAACTTCAGTCCAGAAATGGAATCTTCAAAGTCTCACATAAATTCTTTAGGTACTTCTAGACCTTTGGGTTTTGCAGCTAAGTTCTTTAGGTACCTAACTTTGTTCTTGACATTGCTGAGCATGTAGATACAGGATAAGCACTTCACAGTGTTTACAAAATAGTTAGGGCCTAAGCCTGTAGAATAATTGGTAGTAGAGAAGAGGAGAGTTCCCCATAACTCAGTGTTTGGAGTGCTTCTGCAGGATGTAAAACTCCGTTCTCTGCTGCCACAGCTGCACCTTCCCACCTGGCATACTTTTGGCTAGCTGGTGGCAAGGGCTATTACTTTTTCTTTTGAAATCTGGAGACTTTTCGCGTTCCATACATAATGGATTTTTATTTTTTGGCTAGTTTCTGTATTCCCCATTCAGCTCTTACGGCCCTCACTTTGAAGCTTGTGATATTCCTCAGGCACTGTGTAGTGATCTTGTGTCTTCTGCTTGTTGTTTAACTAAGCAAGTAGGAATTAGATGCTGTACTGCTCAGTATTGTGGATCCAGTGCAAAATGATCTGCATAAGACAGGATTTATCTGGTTTCTTTGAAACAGGGAGAAGTACTGTTTGCCTGGCCTGGAGGCACTGGTTGTGACACAGGAGATCACTGCATAAATGCAAAATCCCTTGCTGCAGTAGCTGGCAGCAGAAACAACAGCATAATGCTACAATATTCTGGAACATGTGAAGCTTTCAGTCCATCTTGAAACAGTTTCAAAAACCGCTGCAGAAGTGCAAATGAAACCATTAACTTCAGAATTAAGATCCCATGGAAAGGAGCTCTTACGGTACTTGTGGCTTCTTGTTCTTTGACAGAATTACGTGAAGGCAATGAGGCTGTTCGTTGGAGAACCAGTCTGGACAGCATACAACAGACCAGCTGATGATTTTCCTGCTCGGAAACAGTATATGAAGTTTTTGACTGGAGAAGCACAGTAATGGTGTCTGTGACCTGACAGGTGGAGCAGCCTTGAAGCCAATCAGAATAAATGTGATTTTTCAACCGACTACACTACTGGTTGCATATACACTGGAATCACAAAATCATAGACAAATTTAGGCTGAAAGGTCATCTGGAGGCCACTTAGTCTGTTCCCCTTTCAAGTACAGGGCCAACTTCAAAATTAAACCAGGTTGCTCAGGCTCTTGAGTTTTGAAAGCCTCCAGTGCAGGAGACTCTACAGGCTGGCCAGGTACTTGCTCCATTGCTTAGCCGCTCTTGTGGCCTCACAATTTCTCTTCATGTCCAAATCCCTTGACACCGCGAGTGGTTGTTATCTCTCGCCCTGAGAAGAATCTGGCTTGGAGTTCTCTGCACTCCCTTCTCTAGTGGCAAAATACAATTAGGTCTTCCATTCTCCAGGCTAGACTAACAAGTGTCCTAAACTGGACTTTCAGCAGTCCAAGTTGTTAGTGATGACATCAGCCATGATTTGCCCTGGCTCTGACTACTGAGGAATGTCACTTGTAGCCAGCTTAGTCAGACAGGAACAACTGGCTATTCCTAGCCTGATGGTCCACAAGTTTTTCACCTACTTTGTAGCTCGTATTCCCAGTCTGAGTACAACGCTACTGTGGGAAACTGTTGAAAGCCTTGCTGTATGCAAGGTAACTGCCATCCACTGTTTCCCCTCTGCAACAGAGCCATTTATTTCCTCCTAGACGGCACTTGGGATGGTCAAGCAGAATGTGCCTTTGGTAAATTGGTGTTGACCAACTATTCCCAGTTCCTTATATTTCGTGTGCCTGGAATGGCTTATTCCATAATTTGCAGAAATAAGGATGGCCAGCCTCTCGTTCCCCAGATCCTCTTTCTCTCCTTTTTGAAGATGTCTGTAACATTTGCCTTTTTCTGGCCAAAAAGATTTCTGTTATCTCTCTAATGATGGCAGCCTTCTGGTAACATTAGCCAGTTGCATTTACAGTAGCTCAGGAATCCATTTTCTAACCTTTTTTTTCCTGATGTTTCTGGCAGGTAGAGTTGGGAGAGGTGGGCTACATTAATATTCATTCTGCTCCGAATCCATGCTAATGAACTATGTAGGATTCTAGTTTTAATTAAAGAAAATAAACCCAACTTCATTCTTGTCTAAAAATGTTCACAAGATAAATTTGCATAATCGCCATTTTAGTATGCAGCTTCCCTAGCTCAGGCCTGGTACGTAAAGCTTTGGTTTTCTCTTGGCAAAATGTAGCAATTTGCTCCCATGAGCTATTAATAAAATTAATTTGACTTCAGTCTGGTTGCTTTTTTTTTTTCTTCCATTTTTTTTTTTCTGCTGCTGACATTAAGGATACGTTGAGAAATGGTGTTACTGCTGTAATTGTTAACCAGCTTTTATTCCTTGTTCTGCTGCTGACCTGTTCTGTAACTGGACAAAGCATTAAGTGCATGCCTCAGTTTCTTTAGCTGTGAAATGAAGATACATGGACTTAAACGTGCTGGCCCAGTTTTCAGTAAGTGCCTTGCAGTTACTCTGGGCATGCTGCTCCTCAGCAGTGGGTACAGAAACATTTTGGTATGAATTTGCTCCTTGCAGCGAGTCAGCTGTGCAGATTGTGGTGCGTGCTTCAGCTCCCAGCGGATGATGAGAGCACAGATTCTGCACTGCCTGCAGCCTGTGTGCCAATTTCAGCCGTATGCAGTACAAACTCCTGTCTTGCAGTTGCTCATATAAACAGGACTCAAGCTAGATGAGACTTGGGGTTATGTAAATTTTCATAAGGTAGCACAAAGGAGAAAATTAATTGAACTTTCCTGCTGTTTGTAAGTACAGGTCTGCTAAACATCCCTTCTTTAGCAAGCAATGTTTTCTTTATCTTGCAGGAGCATTACTTACAATAATGGCTAGGTCTAAAAGTGTCTCTGAAAACAAAGTTGTGGTTTTGAAGTGAAGCTGTACCAGCTTTTATCTTAAAACGTGTAAACAGCAAGAAAAAAGGGCATATAGTTCCTGTCTCCCAGTATTGGATTGCAAGGTCGCTGCTGAGGCAGGCACACACCTGATCATAAATTCTGCAGGTGCTGGACTCAGTCTGTGGCAGTAGGGTGCAGGCACAACCCACGTTTGCGAAATGAGAGCCTGCAGAGAGCTTAGCTCAGCCTGCATTAGCTTTTGTGCTGTGGTTTGTAAGCCTGGCTGAAAATCAGAGTTACCAGCAAACATCGGGTATGACTGTGGTCAGGTTCTTCAGGTAAGCCTGCACGGATGCTGTGCTGTGCCCCCACCAGACTGGGGACTTGTGTGCCATGTCCATGGCAGCAGCACTGCAATATCTTGTGCAACACCAAATGCACGGGGGCATCCCAGTCTCAGTACAGATTTATGGGATTTTTCAAGGTACAGCTACAGCATTAAGTGACAGTTACCACCTGCAACAAGTTTTATTTATTTGACTTCTATGCCACAGAAAATGGTACTTCTGGATGTGCAGGAAAATGACTGCTTTTTCCTGGTGCTGCTGTCAGTCTGTGGTATCCAAGATAATTAATCTTTTCCTTTGTTTTCTTTTTTACCAGAAGTCAACACAAATCTATTAATTCCTCCTCCTCCTCCCATGGGCCTCTCTGCTTTGATTCTCTTTCTTTTGCTCTTTGTGCAAAAAGAGAAATGGAAGCTGTGGAGCTGAGGAGCTCTGTGCTCAGCACCATCATCTCTGGTCAGACTGAGGGAGCCACCAGGAAGGGAGCCCAGGTGATGTTCTCTGCTCGTGGGAGATTTACGGCTTGGAGGCAGCAATGAGGGGATAGATACAGGAAAGAAGCTGCCCACAGCAATTGCTTTCGGCATCTCGCTGATGTAGAATGTGACCTCGGAAACAGGACTGAACCACCTTGTTTTGTTGCCTCTCCGGAGGAATATATACCCCTGGTACAGCTCCCATCTCCGGGCTGTCAAGAATAACACACGATAACACCGCTGAGCATCATTCATCATTTTCATAGCACAATGCATTCTGCTGCTGAGAGGTGGCAGTGACTGCGAGGGTCTTGCTGTGAATGCTTTTAAATACGTGCCCTTTAGTGCTATAGGTGTTCTTGAAGGGTTGAAAGCATTACTATCCACAAGCATTTTTGTCAGCCAGGAAAAAAAGCAATTTGGAGGCAGTATAAATATTCGGTGAAGAGCTTGCATGGGAGATTGCACTGGGGGAAAACAGCTGGACAGAGAAAATGTTAATATTAATAGGAAAAGCTCCAAGGAGTGGAGAGAGAACATACGATTCTATCACATATCTAAAAGCAAGAAGTGAAATCGATACTTTTTGGTCCAAAAACATGAGTCTGTTTTGCTGCAGCCAGTGGAAAACCTCAGTGCATTGATGTAATATTAAAATTTATGTAAGTGGTTCAGCAATATCACGTTGGCACCGTTAACTCAGACAAGGGGAATATTTCAACTTCTCCAGGATTAGAGTTTAAAAAAAAAAAAAAGATGATAATGGAGAAATGGTGCTGAATTGAAGGGTTTGAAGGTAGGTTTTTGAATACCTGTGTATTATTTTTCACATTAATGCAGCTTGTTCCCAAGTGCTGTGTACCTCACTTTCTCGTGACCATCCTGGGAGAGCAGTGCCCTTGTTTTCTGCAAGTGGACTCAAAATGCTGGATGGTCAGTGGGCTTTTTAATGGACCAAGTGAACTGTTTGTGGCTGACAAACTCTGTGACCTTGCCCTCCTTTGTTAGCTGTCCTGGGTAGGTGTCTTTGGCAGGGGATCCCCTCGGGGAAGCTGATTGCCTGAGCACCAAGGCGTTTCACAGCCAGTCAGCAGCCACCTCAGGTGCCTGTGTGTGCTGTGTGCAGGTGCCTACAAATGAGATCCTCCAAATCTGGCTGAGGGAGATGCCGAGGGAAAGGGGTGAAGCAGCCGTGGCTGTGGAGCGCAGGGGTCATGCCGCTTCCCCGTGGCTGGGGGCCTGTAGCTGCCTGTCTGGGCTGCTGAACTCAACGAGTCAGAGCCTTTGTGCTTTCAGAGCACTGTGTCTGAATGTCCTGCTGGCAGAACAGGTGCTCTCCTGCCTGGTTTCTGCCTCCAGGATTTAGCTTGAGCTAAAAACTTATTGGAAGGGACAGTTTCATGACAAAGGGAATTGTTTAATATCAGCTGGCAGAGACCAATGCACATAAAGACTGAAGTGGCAGCTAAGTGCCACTTTGAAGAATGTCCCTTGTTGCCAAATGGTTAATTTAGGGGTTTGGTCAGACAGAAGCCGGGAACCCTTCCTGTGCTATGCTCAGAAATTACATCATCTCTTTGGGATTTTGTCCTGTGGAAATGACAGAAATTCGGACTCCCTTCCCTCTCCCCAGAACAGGGTCACTGCCAGGTGTCTTCTGTTTCCTGAAACCAAACAAACACCAACATATCAGGGAATGAATTAGTGTTACAATTAAATATTCCTGGCTCAAAGAGCCATATTTGATCTGAATTGCTGCATTCATTGTGACTTTACAGCTTGAATCCCAAAACATTTTGTGTGTTTGCAAAAATGTACTCTGCTCTACCTGCAGCTTGAAAAACCTACGATTTTATACAATGTAGTCACTAGCTCTCCTTTTCTGTTAACTGTATTAATGCCAAGGTAAGACAAAGAGACAAAACTTTGAAAATTAAAATGCTTGGGTAAAGATTCAGCAGCTAAAGGGAGGGGGACGTATTTTGCTGTAGCTCTCTGTGGGTTACCTCCACTGATTTTGAGAAGTCCCCTGCCTTTTGATCATCTTTTGTGCTTTTTGTCAAGATACCAATAAATAACTGTGGTGCCTGTCAGCGAGCCACATCGACTGGTAGAAAATTAGACTGAGTCTGCTCCTTGTGTTTTGGGTGGTGGCTCTATGTTGACCCATAGTTAGTGGCCACGGCAACAGCAGCCACTCTGCGCTCTAAATCCCAATTTTCCCTGTGGTCACAGGTAGTCCAGCCTGAACGATTTGGATCTGGGCTTATTTTTTCTCTGTTTTACCAATGGTTCAGGCAACTGAACACAAATCTGCTGTTAGTGAGTGGGAGGGAAGCTGCTGGTGGTGATGCTGGGGTCAGGAGGCAGCCCTGGTGCTGCCAGGCTGGGGCTTGGCCCCGTTGCCTGCCCCTGGTGTGTGGTGTGCCAGCACCTGCTCAACCCCTCTGCCGTATGACAGATGCTTTAAAAGCAGCTCAAGTCATTCTATTCCACAGCTTTTAACTTCGGTATTTTCGGTTCAGCACTGACAGTTTTGACAATTTTTCAAAGTCAGCCAGGAACCTCCTCCCTCCTTCACTCCCTGCCTCAGCTAAATAACATCCCATTTTTTTTTCCCCTCTCTTTGTGGGTAAATTGCAGGCTGTTGCTGGCTTTCAGATGGACTTTTTAATGCCGAGCACTCTCATACATAACAGAAATATCTGCAAATATTTCCAAAGGTAGGTAGGACAGATTGATTCAGAGCACCATGGATAAGGCAATAGCTGGATTCTCCCACCCACCCCAATCTCTTTTTTCCTCACCAACACCAAGACTGTGACTGTCTCACACACCTGCTGAAGATTTGTGATTCCCAAGCTGATTTGTAGAAATAAGCAGAAAAGCAGCTTTCCAGCAGCTTGTCTTCAAGTCAGTGCCGGTGCTTTTTTACATTCAGTACTACAAAACTGCTGTCCATGTACTAAAATCTTCATGATTTTAGCACATGGCTACTGTGTAAAGATCCTCATTGGTAAAATCCATTTTTATAATGTTCTATCAGGAGGGCAGAAAGCAGGGAAGAAAGGGAAGGTGGCCTCGTCCTTTGAGATCATATAGGTGTGAGCTTAGGGACAGAACCACCTTGTTCCAACATCTAGAGTTTCCTTGGCCTTTGCTCATGACAGCAGCAATCTTGGTGGTTTCTCTCTGAGCAGCCTGAGAGGATGACTCTGGCTGCTGTGGTTCCACCTATTTGCAATAAATTTCTATCTGTATTTTATGTTTCAGGCTTGTTTTCAGCACACTGCTTGGATTGATTGCACGGTGAAGCAGAGAAGGAATACAAACTTTGCACTACAGCTAAATCTGACTGGAGATGGGGTGCTGAGTACCGGGCAGACATCTGTTGGAGGACTGCAGTGCACGTGATTGATGAAGCACATTAGCTGACATACCAGTAAAACAGACATAACTTACCTGGTCACAGCCCACTTATTCCCCTCTGATTTGATCTGGGAGACACCTGCAGCAAAGGCTTCAGAAAAGGATTGTCTGCCTACCACTTCTTAAACTATGAAACTACGATAATGCATGAAACTTTGCAGCTCATCCAGGTGGGTGGTTACTCCTGTTACATCCTCGTTTTGTTACCCTCAGGATGAACGTCAAGCTGCAGAAGGTTTTTGCTGCCTTGGTCAGTTTTTCAGCCAGGTCAGGAGCTCAGCCAGCTTGTGCAGAACCGCATGAGTGCTCACGCTGACATGAAGGATGGGGTAGGTGGAGGACCGCGCATCCTTCCCTGTATACTGGCTGAAGTCCACCGTGGAGCCTGAGTGCTTGGGCACGTCTGCACCTGTGTTTGGGGGAATACTTAATGTGGCCACTCTGAAAACTGAGGCACTAGGAAAATAAAAGTAAGCAGCTGCTTGGAGGACGCCAGCATCACCTGAACTGCAGTTAGGTATGAGGAATGGCAGAGAGCTGCTGAAGTGCTTTTGAGGCTCAGGGTCTTTGTGCATAATGTAATTATCTGAATGCCTGAAGTACAGCATATTTGCTTCTTTTTTTAATAAAAGAGGAAATTTAAATGCAAAACTTCTGTTAAGGCACATTAAGCTTTAAGACTCGAATACAACAATCATCTCATTCAGGCTCTACTCTCTGCAGCTTTTCTCACTTAGCCAGATGACACATGCCTGCTGTGTTTTAGAACTGAGTGCTGCCCTCATTTACACCAGGAACCCTCATTAAATTCAGCTGAATTCATTGAATTTAACAGGATTGCCTGGTGTAATTAATGTTTTGAGGACAATTTTTTTTTCCTTAGCTTTAATGCTAAGGAAAAACCATACACAGCATTTAGATGTGTAGTTGTCTGAACACAGGAAATTCAAACACTTCTATATATGTTAAGCCCAAGCCATCCAGTGACATTGACACCATTTCTTGCATTTTTATAAACATTTAACAATTTGCATAAATCCTGCAGTGATGATATGCCTTTGCATTTAAATTTTAATTATTCTGCAAGTCTACCAGGATGTCACTTGTTTAATGGCTCACTGAGCTTGGAGGTCACCCAGTCCAAGTCTCCTCTACTGATGTTTTTATCCGAGTAAAAGCTTCTGCTAATGAGAACACAGCAAACATACTGAAATGTATGAATGTCATACGTATGAATTAGAAATTAGAGAAACTTAGAGAACAGGGGATTATGTTTTCATGGTGTTTCTGTTTTAATGATTATTTGACTCTGACTAGGACCGTAAATTCTTGTTCTCTGCTGATCTGGATACAGGTTGTCATTTACACATGCAGTGAGTGTAAGGGACTGCTGAATCAAAAAAGAAAACATTTTTTTCCTTGACTGTAGAGGTGGATGGCTTCTGTGTGCTGGGTGATGATGACTCCAGCTAATTTCATTTAGAATTGGGAAAGACAAATCAAGCTTCCTGAAAGCATCTTTTGGAGTTGCAGAGGTGAGTAGATCAGACAACAATGGAACGAGACAGCTGACCTTAAGCAAAAATCGTGGGAATCTCTGTTATATATTTATGTATCATTATAAATTTATTTAACTGGACTCATTCAGTGCTCTCAAAACCTTCAAATATGAGGAAGTTTATGTACCAGGATCCCTCCCTATCTGCTAAGAAATCCCCCACACAAGAAAAAGTGACCTATGTTGGAGAAAACACTAAAATTACTTATAATGAGTAACTATTGGATCAGATTAACAGTTGTGAAATCCTGAAAACGACACTGATTTCAACTCAGTTATACAACTTGAACTAAGAATTTGTCCAATTACTCAAACTTCATCTAAAATTATAAAAATATTTAAATTAAATGTAAAAGCTAATAAAGAGTAATGCAGAAATAACTTTTTATTTCACTGTATTTTAATGCTTCCTAAAGATAGGTAAATGGTGCTTAAGCCCATTTGAAAGAGGAGGTGCTGAATCTTTCATTTTTGTTAGTAGTGGTATCTTAGGACAAGTCTACCCAGGTGCTGCACAAGTTTAATTCAGACTCAGCTATGGAACCTAGAGGCCTAGCCACAGAAATACCATTTAATTTCTTTCAGTTGATTAGTACATACTCAGCCACTGATTTGTATGTACATTTGTACAATAATAAATAAAAATATGTATAAATAAAATATGTACAAAAAATAAAATTGTACAATATACTGCAAGAAAGGAACAAGTTCTATGGAGCCAGGCTCTGTTCAGTAGTGGCCAATGCCAGGACAAAAGGCACAAATTGGAACAAAAGAGGTTCTGTTTAAATATCAGGAAACACTTCTTCACTGTGTGGGTGATGGAGCACTGGCACAGGTTGCCCAGGGGTGTTGTGGAGTCTCCTTACCTGGAGGTCTTCAAAAGCCACCTGGACATGGTCCTGGGCAGCTTGTTCTGGGTAGCCCTGCTTGAGCTGAGATGCTGCACAGATGATCTTCAGAGGTCCCTTCTAAGAACAACCATTCTGTGACTTTGTATGGTGGTTTTCTAGCAACCTCATTTCAGAGCAGTGGACATACAAAGGCCTAGTAGTCAGTATTCTGATTGGGGGAAGTAAGATACACACAATAAAAGCAACTGAATAAATGTGCATTCAGAATTTCTATAACACACTGATATTCTGTCAGTAAACTTAGCTGATGAAATTATCTCAGATCATTTACTCGCTAATTACTGAAAAACACTAACAGTCATCAAGACAAATAAGGTCAAATGCATTTTTTCTTATAAAAGGAAGCACTGGAGTAACTGTTTGTATATATATATGCACATACGTACTGTAATGAGAAATAACTAGACAGGAACAGACTTGCAGGGATAAAGCTGGCTTTAGGTCAGCACAAAATCTTCACAGTGATAGGGCTGTTAGAGACAACACAGATTCTGTAGGAATGCCACTGACTATTTATAACTGGATAGATTTTATTTTACATTTACACATTACCAAGAAGTATATACAACTTTTAAAATCGGCTTTGCAGGAGAAAATTAGTTGGAAATGATCTATCCTAACTTGAGACACTGAGTATTAAAGCTATCACCCTCTTTGATAGCTACAGCCTCTAAAAGGGCCTGCTTCTTCTGCATACTGCGAGATGACTCCAGTTCATACATAGTTGTCAGGTTGAAGAGAACACTCTCATGCAGGTAGTGCTTAGGGTCCTGCTGAACCATTCCTTCCAACTGGCGAAGGGAATCCTTGAGTTTTCCCAGATAAAGAAGACAAACAGCAGCATTGTTATTAGCCTAGAGAAAAAATATATCATAAATAAATGTGTGTATATATATATATATATATTTACAAGTGATGAGTGAGAAAGTAAAAAGGACGTCTAATCATTTATTATGTGCTATGTACTACTATTTTGTGTGCACAAGCAACTAAAATAGATTCTCAGTCACCTAATCCTAACCTTTTCTTCTTTTCTCAAGAGTTATCCTGTGCTAGTAGGACGCCCTGACTTGTAAGAACTCAAACTCTAAAAGATAAGAGTATAAAATGTAATATAAATAGTATAGAACATTAGATAGTTAATTGGGAAAATGAATCAGATTTCAAAAACTACATAAGCTTCTGCATACTGTCTTTTTTTTTTTTTTAAAAATGACTTCACTGTATCTTCTACAGTGTTTTTCTCTCTGGCTTATGTGTAGAAAATCCACACAAGCAACAGGAAGAAATTAACCTATCACAAAGGCATCTACAATTTACTTGAAGGAAGTTCAGCAAACAGGGCAGTCTAATACATCTTAAGGTATCAAGTCAAGTGCATTTTCTTCTCCTAACAACAGGTTTTATGAGTTAACAAAGGATTCCACCAGTACAAAGTCATATAACTTGTTTAGCTGCAGAATCTGAAAGCTGCAGATAAAGGAATAATACACCCTTTTAAAAAGTCTTTCTCTCTCTCTTCAGGAAACCTTATTGATTTCTCAGAGTTTATAGTACATACTACTTTACAGCCTGCAAAATGATGCAGTTCATGTGCTTCTTAAACTCAGTCCCCTCCATTTTTAAGTCGTCTCAGATCAGGCTTTTGGGGATAAGCTGTCTGAGTTCTCAGGGATGCTCCTATATGACCATGCACTGAAAGCTGCCACAGGTACAAATAGCAGAAGTAAATAAACAAACAGCTCTTCTTTGATCTCCTTTTATGATGGGAATCCAAGGCTCTGATGTGCACCATGTTAAAAATGTCATTTCAAAAATGATTATATTCCTTCAACACTGTGAAATCATGTTACTTTTATATATGTTGGCAACTGCTATTTCTTTTTCTGACAAGCATGCCTATACTAAACACAGTGAATGCAAAAAAAAAAAAAAAAAAGCACTTTTGCAAAGGTCCCATAAACATAATGATTTGCAATGCCTTCATGCATGTCTAAGTATTCACCAGTTCTTCACTTCCCACCTTTGTCTGTATCTTAACCTCACGTATACTAAAAGCTCTTTGGCATACAGGCCACATCTAATTTTTCTATAAAGCTCTGAGCATACTCTGGGTACTTATTAAATACATGTATGAAGGCATTACAAGAATAATTTAGGTGTTCATTATAAATGTAGCAATTTGGAGATTTACCACAGCATTTGATGAGTCGATCCTTAAAATTTCTGTGAAAAATCGATGAGCTTCTGCAAAATTATTCTGACCAAGGTGGAGGAATGCTCTAGAAAGTAAGTGACACATGAATGAGTTCTCCTGGAAAACCCAAGGTGATAATATATTTTAAAAAGAATGGACATCATTTTTTATTTTTCCTATTATAGATGTGAGAGTTTCTGACATTTGTTCTTCACGGTGTAATCTTGAACCAGCAAGGAGACACTGATTTACAGACAAATGGAATGACAACTTGGATCATTTGGCTATTATATATTCTGCCTACCAAAGCAAGAGTCTTCGCTGTGTTTTCATTAATTTAAATGTAGATACTCTCTTCCTGGAATTATTTCTCTTTAGGAAATTAGCCATGCTATATCATTTTCAGAACACTTTTGAATTGTATTTTCTAAATGTATTAGGCAATTGCTAAACATTACAAAACTGAGCCCCCCATCATGAAACTCAATTACTCCTGTGTTTTTGAGCATTTTTTGAAACTAAAGAGGCAGCAGCTTTCCTAGCAGATCTGACTGTGGGATAAGGGCCCCAAATAGCTTCTCCTCTCCTAAGCATTATTTATGCAAATGTATATTCAAAAAGCAGACTGAAAACATACAATGCCTGTTAGAATGAGAAAAAGCTTCATAAAATCAACTGAAGGATCACAATTTCAATGCTGGATAATAGGACTGTACCAAGTACTACATATCTCATGGGTCTACATTCCATTCAGTCTCCCTTACAACAGATGTAGTTATATAAAAGACAGAAAGAGAATTTGTGTCAAGGGTAGTTTGATACTCATTATGTATACTTTGAAAAACTATATTTTAAAGTTTCATTTAGCCATTAAATTACCTACCTGTTCATTAAAACCATAATCTGGCTCTGTAGTCCATCCAATTTGTGAGTCACTTTTTCAACATCTTGAAAGTACTTTTCTGCAGTTTTTATGTCTCCAATCTAGACAGCAAAATTGTGAGAAAGTTACCACAATAAGAAGAAAAGAAATCCAGGCTGATTACATCTTCTACAAAGGATAAGAACATGAAAACATGTTGAAGTCCATTATCTAATTGTTTGGTACCAAGACGACTGGGTAACGTCTGTTATCAAACAAGGTATCTGAAGAGCCACACTAAGATTACAAAAAAGAACACCAACACCATGTACAGTTTTATCTAGGGCAGTGATTTTCAGCTGTGTTTGTGGAGCACTCATGTACTGTAGAGTAGTGGTGCCACACCTCCTCATTTGGCTCTTTTGTTGTAATTTTCTCCAGAGTTTGTAAAATTAGCCGAAAACGAGAGGTCAGACTTACTTCCAGCAGCACCTGCCTTTCATAAACCCATGCTGACTGGGTCTGATCACCTGCTTGCCCTGCAAGTGCCGAGTGTCATCACTCCTTTTCCCACAACATTTCAATTTCCCACAGCATTCTCCTCAAGAAACTGGCTGCTCACGGTTTGGACTGGCATATGCTTCGTTGAGTTAAAAACTGGCTGGATAGCTAGGCCCAAAGAGTCATGGTGAATGGAGTCAAATCCAGTTGGAGACCGGTTACTAGTGGCATTCCCCAGGACTCGTTGCTGGGGCCGGTCCTCTTTAATATCTTCATTGATGATCTGGATGAGGGGATCGAGGGCACCCTCAGTAAGTTTGCAGATGACACCAAGTTAGGTGCGTGTGTCGATCTGCTCGAGGGTAGGAAGGCTCTGCAGGAGGATCTGGATAGGCTGGAACGATGGGCTGAGGTCAACTGCATGAAGTTCAATAAGGCCAAGTGCCGAGTCCTCCACCTGGGGCGCAATAACCCCAAGCAGGCTGGGAGATGAGTGGTTGGAAAGCTGCCAGGCGGAGAAGGACCTGGGAGTATTGGTGGATAGTCGGCTGAATATGAGCCAGCAGTGTGCTCAGGTGGCCAAGAAGGCCAACGGCATCCTGGCTTGTATCAGAAACAGTGTGACCAGCAGGGCTAGGGAGGTGATCGTCCCCCTGTACTTGGCTCTGGTGAGGCCGCACCTCGAGTACTGTGTTCAGTTTTGGGCCCCTCGCTACAAGAAGGACATCGAGGTGCTTGAGCGGGTCCAGAGAAGGGCGACGAAGCTGGTGAGGGGCCTGGAGAACAAGTCCTACGAGGAGCGGCTGAGGGAGCTGTGCTTGTTCAGCCTGGAGAAAAGGAGGCTCAGGGGTGACCTTATCGCTCTCTACAGGTACATTAAAGGAGGCTGTAGTGAGGTGGGGGTTGGTCTGTTCTCCCACATGCCTGGTGACAGTACGAGGAGAAATGGGCTAAAGTTGTGCCAGGGGAGGTTTAGGTTGGATATTAGGAACAACTTCTTTACTGAAAGGATTGTTAGACATTGGAATGGGCTGCCAGAGAAGTGGTGGAGTCACCATCCCTGGAGGTCTTTAAAAGACGTTTAGATGTAGAGCTTAGTGATATGGTTTAGAGAAGGACTGGTTACTGTTAGGTCAGAGGTTGGACTAGGTGATCTTGAAGGTCTCTTCCAACCTAGACGATTCTGTGATTCTATGATTCTGTGTTAGTCCACGGAAAATTAAGACAGGTGCTCACTGCTCACAAGCAGAAGCTGTCAATAAGCATGAAAACGGGAACACAATAGCCTGGTACTAGCGTAGGACCTGTGCTTAGTCAATACACAAGCTGTTTCTGGGTCAAAGCCAGAGATCACAGACAACTTGAACACATCAGACCAAAATGTGTCAGAAAACAGCCCCAACACAATGGGTTGCTGTGGGGAGGATTGAAAACTACTGGCTAGTGAATCACGCAGGCTGAAGGAAAGGGATGTGAA